AGCGAGCAATATGACGGCCCCCCCGCCGTCCCTGTCAAACAACCGGCGCAAAACGGTCGCGGGGCGCCGCGCATGGTTGGGTATTCGTTTTGAATAGAGCACTGCAGTCGCGTCCTCCCGCCCCCCTCCCGCCTCCCGCCCCCCCTCCTTCTTGTCTCCTCTTGCCTTGCTTGGGGGGCTGCGATCTGCGAAATTGTCACCACTTTCGAGGGCTGCTGGTGGGTCCATCGGGGTGAGGCACCGCGCGGATCTGAGCGAGACCTCCCCGTCCCTGGGGGGCTGCGATCTGCGAAACTGTCGCCACTTTCGAGGGCTGCTGGTGGGTCCTGCGGAGTGAGGCACCGCGCGGATCTGAGCGAGACCTCCCCGTCCCTGGGGGGCTGCGATCTGCGAAACCGTCGCCGCTTTCGAGGGCTGCTGGTGGGTCCTGCGGAGTGAGGCACCGCGCGGATCTGAGCGAGACCTCCCCGTCCTTGGGAGGGCTACGATCTGCGAAAGTGTCGCCACGTTCGAGGGCTGCTGGTGGGGTCCAGCGGAGTGAGGCACCGCGCGGATCTGAGCGAGACTTCCCCGTCCCTGGGGGGCTGCGATCTGGGAAATTGTCGCCACTTTCGAAGGCTGCTGGCGGGTCCAGCGGAGTGAGGCACCGCGCGGATCTGAGCGAGACCTCCCCGTCCTTGGGGGGGCTGCGATCTGCGAAACTGCTGCCTTTTTTCGAGGGCTGCTGGTGGGCCCAGCGGAGTGAGGCACCGCGCGGATCTGAGCGAGACCTCCCCCGTCCCTGGGGGGCTGCGTTCTGTGAAACTGCCGCCATTTTCGAGGGCTGCTGGTGGGGTCCAGCGGAGTGAGGCACCGCGCGGATCTGAGCGAGACACCCCCGTCCTTGGTGGGCTGCGATCTGGGAAATTGTCGCCACTTTCGAGGGCTGCTGGCGGGTCCAGCGGAGTGAGGCACCGCGCGGATCTGAGCGAGACCTCCCCGTCCTTAGGGGGGCTGCGATCTGCGAAATTGTCGCTAATCTCGAGGGCTGCTGGTGGGTCCAGCGGAATGAGGCACCGCGCGGATCTGAGCGAGACCTCCCCTTGGGGGGTTGCGATTTGGGAAATTGTCGCCACTGTCGAGGGCTGCTGGTGGGCTCGCCACTTTCGAAGGTTGCTGGTGGGTCCAGCGGAGGGAGGCATTGCGCAGACCTGAGCGGGACCTCGTCATCCTTGGGGGGGCATGTCATGTTGTTGTTGCCCCGCCGACGTTTTAAGCTCCCTTGTCCACCGTCTCTTTTTGGACCTTGCGTCTTCCTTAGTGGCTCCTTGATTGAGGACCTGCGAACCTTCCGAACGTATACGCGTCCATGACACGTCGCCGCCTTCTCGTCAAATCTCCCAAGCTACTCCTGCCCCGCATTGCGCAGGGGTTGGGAACGCCAGGGTAATTTTGTCAGGGATGGTGGGGTGGGGTGGGGTGGGGGTGGGGTGGCAATGTCCTCGGTTGGTTCACAGTCGGGTGGGTGAGGGCTGTATATTTGTAGGGAGCAGTGATAACCCCATTCCCCCGAGCAGTGGAAGGAGGGAGCTTCGGCAGAGAGAAGACACAGTTAGTTACACCACCTGCGCCCAGAGAGCTGGTAAGATTTTTTCTAACAGCGGAACATCTACATGGTGCAGCCTCTGTTGCAGCGGCACGGCGGCGACGGGGTGGCGACGGCGGCCACGTAGCCGTCAGACCGACCGCCAGGCCCAGACGACGGGCGGCGACGAGGTGGCGACGGGGCGGCGACGGCGGCCACATAGCCGCCAAACCGACCGTCAGGCCCAGGCGACGTGCGGCGACGGGTCGGCGACGGCGGCCGCATGCGTAGTCGCCAAACCGACCGTCAGGCCCAACTCCTTAGAAGCTGGGTAAGAACCCGTAAGCGCACACACCGCTCGGGAAATCTTGCGCAGTTTGAAGCCATGTGTTTCTTCCGGGAGAAAGCCAGGGATGTGAAGCTCCAGGGTCACAATGCGTGAGGAAGCATCAAGCTACGCGCCCAGCCTGCCCTACTGACACGCTGGTCGTACGAAGAGGGGGTTGGTAATAAGGAAGACGGGCGGAGGAGCAGGATGGGGGGAGGACGAGAAGGAGGCTCCCACTAGGGATCTCGCCTCAGCGCCGCACACATTCGCAGCAGCAGCAGCTGCACAGGTAGAGGGGAGTCGTGGTCAAAATGGAGCTCTGGCCGCAGCGCCGTGCACACTCGTGTAAACGCATGCACAGGCTACAAGGATGGAAAGGGGTCGTCTTCAAAATGGGGCTCTCGCCTGAGCGCCGCTCAGTGTAAGCGCTTGGACAGGCTATGGGGATGGACGGAAGTCGTCTTTCAAAATGGGGCTGGCCTCAGCGCCGCGCACATTCTGTGCCAAGGCTTGCACAGGCTGCAAGGACGGAATAGGGGCCGCTTCAAAATGGGGCTCTGGCCTCAGCGCACACATGATTGACAAGCTTGCACGAGTTGCACGGATGTTGCATGGCTTCTTTCCGACATGTGTTTCTCGCTAGAGATGTCTTCAATGATTCACGACTCGGAGGCTTGACCAATGTAGCAGTTGAACGGATCAAGGTCGGCTCCTTTTTCGAAATGACGATGTCGCTTTACTTCCGCAAATGCAGTTACCAGATGTGTGATGTGGTGCAACATTTGCACGGAGGAGGGGTGCCTCCGTGTCAACAGGGTTCTTGTTGGACACATCAGTGAATGTTACGACCCTACCTATTCGCATTCGCTATAACTCGCTGGCAGGAATCAAGACTGCTCATTTTCACGCGCTCCTTGCGGTGGAGAGAAAAGGGACTGGAGAGTGTATTGCAGCATCGGTGACGCATCCCGGGTCTACCCGTTTGATGTGCGGCACTTCTTCCTCCTCTTCCTCCCCTAGCATCCTTCCCCCCACCCTTCTTTCTCTCGTCCTGCCCTCCCCCCCACCCGCCTTGGCACAAGGCGGTCAGAAGTCGACTCCCAGACCCACCCTGGGATGCGCTCCGCAGCAGCATTTCGAGCGGAATCTCGCCCTGGCGGCGAGGGCGCTCCCAGGAGGCCCCGGAACGGACGCAAAACGCTCGAAGTTAGCTCCTGCCCCTCCTCTCTCGTTCTGGCCTTCCCCGAGGCACCGCCCGATTCAGTGGCTGGCCCTCCCTCCACTCCATCCCATCCGCCCTCGCGGAGCGCCGGAGGCAAGGGGGAGGGGAGGGGGGAGCACGGACGGCGCAAGCGGGCGCGCACGCGCCCACACCCATGCCCACGCCCACGCCCACGTCCACGCCCCGACAGGACGCCTACGCCCCCCCCCTCCCCGCCCCAGCCGTGTCAGCTGGGTCAGCCTTGCGAGCCCGCCCCCTCAGGCGCGGGCCAAGCGGCCTGGAAACATGCCATTCAGGGCAGGCATCCACAGAAGAATAAGAGGGAGAAGAAGGGCGTTCGTGTTCTGCCCTTCCATTGAACTGTTCAAGACAGACTTGGGAGATCTGGTCCCCTGAAGAGGGGGCCAAGCAGGCGTCGATACACCCATCAGGAATGTTAATACAAAGCAGCAGCAACCTTCATGGACTCCACATTTCCTTGAATTACCTGGTGACGGACCCTACCCTTTCTAAACATATGGCGGCTGTACCCAGGACCGCTCACTTTAAAACGAACAGATAGAAGGATCCGCAGTGCGCATGAGCACCCAGTAGTGAAAGCAGAAGAGGAAGGCATCGGGAGTACGGGAGTAACGGCTGGGTCTGCGAACGTACACCTCCATGTCGTTGGACCTCCCAGGAGCCACTGGCAGTGGCGACAGTTGCGCACTGCCCCGCCCCCAAGGGAACCGCGAAGTCTCGGTGCTGGGAATCCTTTCTGGGATGTGGCCCTTAAGTGCGATGGGAGCAACATAACCCGAGACCACCTCCTTCTGCTGCGCCTTTCGAGCCAGACCGACACGTGACCGACACGTGGCCGAGCCAGACCTAGATTCCATGGCGCCTCTTCTCATTTCAATACGTCCCCCGCTCCCCCCTGGGCCGCGCACGTGCAGCCGGCCATGGTTTGCGCCCCCCCCCTCTTGGACGCCCCCCTCTTGGCCGCCCCCGAGTCTTTCGAGCCAGACCGACACGTGACCCCCTCGCTGGGCGCAGAGGCGAGCCTGCAGAACGTGCTCGCCGCCTCCAAGAGCCGGCTGCAGGCGGAGCGGCTGCAGGAGCAGGCGCAGCTCCTGCAGGCCTACCCCCCGCGCCGCCGCCCTCCGCCTACCAGGCGTTCCCGGGGGCCCAGCCGCCAGTGGGGAGGGTCGAGGGGCGAGAGCAGTTACTCTAGGCCTCCTAGATGGGGTCCGAGTAGATGGGGTCGGAGGATCGCGCCGCATCGTCCATGCATCGGCGATGCGGCTCGATGCGGAGCCTGATTTTCTCCACGTTGGCGTCGCCGATGCATCGCCGATGTCGCCGATGCATTGGCGATGCATTGGCGATGCATCGCCGATGTATCGGCGATGCGGCGCGATCCTCCGACCCCATCTGCTCGGACCCCATCTAGGAGGCCTCTAGTTACTAGGGGATCGAACAATGACATAAACATCAAACATCGGAGGTCCGCGCGGATGTCTCGGATCCGCGCTGGACCCCCTTGGGGCCGCCTCCGGCGCCGCCCCCGGCGCGCTCCGCGCCACAGGGAGGGGGGTCGAGCGCCGATCCGAGAAGTCCGCGCGGACCTCCGAGTTTCTCTGTGTCTGTGGGGTCGGAGTAGATGGGGTCGGAGGAGTTCGCCGCATCGCCGATGCATCAGTGATGCGGCTCGATGTGGGGTCCAATGTTCTCCACGCCGACGTCGCCGATGCATCGCAGACGTCGCCAGTGCATGGCCGATGTATCGGCGATGCGGCGAGATCGCCCGACCCCATCTACTCGGACCCCATCTAGGAGGACTCAGGGACGAGAGCAGTTACGGTCGGGAGCGCTTGCATATAGTCAAGGCGCTGAAAGAAGGACCACTTCGGGCTCGGGAGGGGCTGCGTTCCTCCTCCTCTGCTTCCTCCTCCTCCTCCTCCTCCTCCTCCTCCTCCTCCTCCTCCCTCCGTAGCCATTTTGGCTCAAGCCGTTTGATCCAAGCCGCGCCCCCTGCAAGAAGCGTTAGCGCCGCGGCCTCGCCCATCGGCCATGCCCTCGATGAGCAAGCTCACCGCACTCGCGTGCACCGTGGCCGGCGCCGTCGGTGGCGCCGCCTTCGTTCAGCCCGGCGCCGTCCGCGCCCCCGCGCTGCCCCAGGCGTCAGCAGCCGGCCTGCAGCGCTGGGAGCAGGCGGCCCCAGAGGCGGAGGCGGAGGCGGCCGCGGAGGGCTTCCCCGCGAAGGGCTTCCTGGCAGGCCTAGCGCTCGGCCTCGGCGTCGCCCTGGCAGGTGCGCAGCACGCGCAGGCCGCGGACGCGCCGGCCGCCGACGCGCCCGCGCCCCCGCCCGAGCCCGTCGTCATGGACGTGCGCGATCTGCAGTACAAGGGCGACAAGGACTTCGAGGCGAAGAAGGCGGCGATCGCGAAGGCCGCGAACAAGGTGGAGAGCGGCATCGGGCTGCAGACCTGGAAGTGGGGCCACGACTACGACAAGAAGTACACGACGTCCTCGACGGGAGCCGGCACCTTCCTGCGCTACAACATGGGCAACTACCAGATCATCCCCAGCTACCGGGGCTCGGCGGCCGACGACGGCACGTACCTCATCGACCCGAGCCAGATCAAGAGGGCCAAGGCCCAGGCCGCCGAGTACGAGAGGGTCAAGAAGGAGGTGGCCCCCGTCTGGCTGAAGGATGGCGGCGCGACCGGCAACGTCTGGCCCAGCCAGGGCATGTACAAGCCCCGCACCTACACCTCGGCATACCAGCCCGTGAGGCAGAAGTAGGCGCTCGCCGCGGGCAGGGCCACGACGGTGCGCAAGAGCCGACGCGGAACCCCGCTGGCGCGCCCTATTCCCGATGCGATTTTTATTGACTCCTCCTCCTCCTCCTCGGCTGTTGAGGTCATCAGCCATCACGTTTCGGACAGCGAGTGGCCGCTTTGTTGCCTGCTTACTCTCGCCCCAGACTCGCTCCAGGGCGCGGCGGAGAGGTGTCCGCGGTGGTTGCGGTCGGGAACGCTCACGTGCAGTCAAGGCGCTGAAAGAAGGAATCGCATGCGACTTGTCTCCCCCCAATTCCCGAGCTCCGCCCGAAAAGTTTGGCCACTCAGGAAAAGGGGTAAAACTTGGGATACGCCCCAAGGGGGCCTTGCGGACGCTCCCCCTATCGAGGATGGACGCCCCCCCTGTCGTGTCTCCCAGGGATGGGCCTCAAAAATCTCTGCTCCGCTCGAAAGCCCCACGAAACCTGAAACACGAGCGGATGGCGTGCCGCTCCGCTCCGGCGCGGAGAGGCTCGTGGCGCTGCTGCCTGGGGAGCGGGAAGTGGACACCGCGTCGCGCCGAGGCGTGGTGGGCCAGAGCCGCCGGAGCGACACGCTACGTATCCAAAAGTTCCTGACGGCAGGTGCAGCCAAGACTCCGAAGTGAGAACCGTCCTTGACGAACGAACAACACGCCCCCTCACCCACAGGTGGGACGGAGGGGTCTGTGGGTGCGTACTGTCGGATTGGAATCCCCGCTCGAAGGGGAGCCTCCCACAGGGTCCAGCAACCAGCATCCATACCCACAGCCAGTCCCCCTCGCTACGACCCTCGCCGACAAGTCACGACGAGAGGTGTTCTGCTATATTCGGCCTCCTCGGGACCGTCAGAAGTCAACTCAGGACGAAACACTGGCCCCGGGGAATGGGTCGAGGCCTTTGGGGTCGACGCTGTAAAGCAGATCATGAGGTAGGGGGTCTGGGGCCGGGGGCGAGGGGCGGCCTTGCCGTTGGCCTTCGATTCGGCGGGGATCCGAGGGGAGGGGGGCGCGGCGGGGCAAGGCAAAAGGGCGGGCCGGCAACTGACCCCGAAGGAGGGCCAGGAGCCCCTCCTCCACGCGATGCCGGCGGAGGGGGGCGAGGTGCAAGGGAGGAAGAGCGGGGCGGAGCGGAGCGCGGAGGGCGAAGGGGAGGAGGACGGAGGAGGAGGAGGAGGAGGAGGAGGAGGAGGAGGACCAGTGTAAACCCAAGAGTCATCAACGATGCTGGAATTAACCCTCCCTCCAAGCTCCCTCTTCATAGGCCCCTACAACGGTTCATTTCCATTGAGGGAAGAACCGTTTGAAGACCCTGAAGCATGCCAAAACATTGTTCTCGGGATCTCAACGCCACGTATCAACCTGACTGCTGCGTCTTGACGATGCGGAATCGTACCAGAGCGCGATTTTTGGAACTTCAACACCATGAATCAACATGTTCGCTGCACCAGCATAATTCAGAATCCTCCCAAAACGCCGTTTCTGGTACGTTGATCACTGGAATCCGTGAAATTGTTGCACATGTTAAAACGAAGGTTCGCGGCGCTAAGGCTAGAGCGACATTTTGACAAGGAATCGCCCTCAATCCGTGAAACTCAACGAATGGGCACGGCGCTGAGGCGAGAGCCACATTTTGAAAAGGAACCGCCCTCAATCCGTGAAAACTCTTGCAGGTGTTGACAACGAATTTGCGCGGCGCGAAGGCGAGAGCCACATTTTGAATAAGAGCCGCCCCCAAATTCGTGAATTCGTGAAATTCTTGCAAAGTTGAAGACGAATGTGCTCGGCGCTAAGGCGAGAGCCACATTTTGAAAACCACCCGCCCTCCGTGAAACTGTTGTCACTTTCAAGCTTCAGAGTCATAGGTGGTGAGGAAGTCTCAGGCGAAACGCCCAGCCCGCCCTAAAGATTGGCCTCGGGGTGCGACGGGGAGAAGTTTCGTACAAGGAGAAGAAATGAAGGAGGAAGGGAGGAGGAGAAGGAAGAGGAGGAGGAGGAGGAGGAGGAGCTGGGAGTGAGCGGTGAGGAGGAGAATCAGAAGGAGGAGGGGGAGGAGGGGAGGATAGAAGGAGGAAGAGGGGACGGGAGGAGAAGAAGGAGGAGGTGAGGGAGAGGGAGCGGGGAGTGGGAGATGGGGAGGGGAAAGGAAGACGAAGAGGGGGACGAAGGTCTGTGGGTGTGGGGAAGGGTGGGGGTTTTGCGAGGGTATTGGAGATTCCTTCAGGGGCAGAAAAAGTCAGGGGCCGCCAGGCCCGGCTCGCATGCTGCGGCTGCTGGAAGGTGCAGTCCAGGTGGGCCACTGAGTCATCCCCCGTCTCGTTCGGAGGCAGCGGAGGCGTGTGTGCGGCATAGACTGCGCTCGAATCGGCAGGATGGGGGAGGAAGACCAGCACCAGGCCGAGGTCAAGATTCCCAGGCGTGACGGAGCCAACCGCGAGGCCGTCGACGCTCGAGCTGCCCCTCTGGCAGATGCGATGCCGCCCTGGCTCCCCAGAACATCTCTTCCTCGTCCTCCTTATCCCCCTCCTCCTCCTCCTCCTCCTCCTCCTCCTCCTCCTCCTCCTCCTCCTCCGCTTCCACCTCCTATCATGATCGTCATCATCACCACCACCGCCATCACCATCACCATCCCCCATCATCATTACAGTCATCACCATCACCATCTTCATCATCATCCTCAGTATCACCATGATTATGATCAGTACCGCCATTGTCTCCACCATCATTAATATCGTCATCATCAGCCGCACCATAAACATCATCACCGTCACCAGCATCATCACACTATTCACGCGCATCACCGCCAGTAAAAGTTCAATCCGCAATGTCGCCGTTTTTACTAGCACCGTCATGCTTACCATCAGCAGCAACAGCAGCAGCATCAGCATCAGCACCGTGATCAGCATCATCAGCATCACCATCATCATTATCATCCTCATCATCATCACCATTCGTATGGTCATCACTGCTATCCTCATCACCAACAACATTCTCGTTGCCGGCACCATCGGCATATCATCACCATGACCACCACGATCACCATAATCATCAGCAGCACCATAACCGTCATCATCCCTCATCATCCTGATAACCTCTGGACCTCCCTTCCCTCCTCGCCCTCTCCCTCCATGCCAGCGTCGCCCTGCATTGGCCACCCTACAGACACGGGTGTATGTATACATGCACACATGTACATGTGCCAGCATAAAGTCAGATGTATGTACATCGATGCATGTGGAATGTGTCATTATATACCAGCGCACATCCATGCATGCATACATACATGCAAACACAGACATACATACTTATGCACAAGCATACATGTGTACATACATACATACATACACACGCACATGCATGCATATACACAAACATGCATACACACATAGCTACCGATATGCATGCCTACATGCCTGCCTACCTACCTACCACATACATACATACACACATAAACACAGACATACATGCATACACACATACACACATACATACACACATACACACATATACACAGATACAGACATACAGCCCTACAATCATACGTGCACGCAGACATTTATACATACACACACATGACACAGCCATACATACATACATACATACATACATGCATGCATGTATGTATGCATGCATGCATACATACATACATACAATACATACATACATACATACACACATACATACATGCAATCATACATACATACACACACCTACATACATATACACACATACGCACATACAGTCGTATAGACACATACATGCATACATACATGCATATTTCATACATACATGCATGCATACATACATACAAATGAGACAGAAAGTGGTTTCTGTCTCTCGCGGAGGTCCTCTCTGAGGCCCTCTGAGTCCGTCCTGACGCGTCTGCTTCCCGCCGCCCGCCCAGACTGGGCCTGGCCCGGCTCGGAGCAGGCTCTCGGCCCACCGCGGTTGGGCCGGACCCCGATCGCTCCGCCGCGTCCACCCGCGTTGCCACTTGAGCGACGTAGAGAAGCGGGGTCGTCTTCACCCGCACGGGCGCGCAAGCTGCCCGCGCAATGTCGCGCGTAAAAGCGCCCTCGTTGCCAATGCGGCGTGCCCTCGCTGGCCGCCCGCGCAAGCCGCGGCGCAGGGTCGCTGTGCCGTCGCGCGTGGGGCCCGGTTCTGTTTCGTCGCTCACCGTGCCATGCTCTCTCGAGAGGACTTGGCCTAGGTTGGGGTCCCCCATACAGGCGGATTTTGCACGAACGCTAGAAAATACTTCCAAAATGTTCAGCAATTTTCGAACGTACTCAGAATATCGTCCCCAGACTATTTTTCATACTAATTTTTGAATTTTCCCCCCGCAGAGGGACAAGCTCGACGTAAGACTTGGCGCCCCGCACCCCTCGCGTCGTGGCAGAAGTCACGGCGGCAGTGTGTGTTGGCCGAGTTCGGCCTCCTGGGGGGGGCCCTCCGCAGGCCCTGGGGCCGTCAAAGCACGGCCCAGGACGAAAACCCCGCCCAGGGGGAGTGGGTCGAGCCTTTTCGCAGGCCTAGAGGTGAACACCAACACCAAGATCGGCGGTGTGCTTCCACCGAGGGAAGAAGAGTCCGTTCTCGGTGATGGTGGTAATATTCTGGCTTCCAAGGTGACCGAAATATTACCACCAACACCGGAATCTAGGATCATCTGTCCCATGTGGAGGCAAACCCCTGTTCTGGTGTTGGTGCCAATTTCCAGGCCTCCAAAAAAGCCCGTCCAGGTGGAGTGGGTCGAGCCTTTCGGGAGTCGACGCTGTGAAGTCAGCCACGGCGTCGGGGATCTGGGCTTACTGTCTCCCCTTCTGCCCCTTCCCGCCTGCCCGCCCGCCTGCTTCATCCCACCAGTCCTGGCCTCCCCCCCTGCGCGTTCGCCGTCGTATGCTTGCTTTTCGTGTCCTTCCTCCGTCTCCGTCGCCGCGCAGCACAGAATGCCGGGAGCTGGCGGCGCGGGTTTGGGTCTGCCGCGTCCGCCCGCGGTGCCGCCTTGCCGTGCTCTCTCGTCAGGGCTGGGCGAGGAGAACACCCCCCCCGCCCTTCCTCCCCGCCCCGCTCGGCGCGGAGGTGCGGAAGATGGCGCACGAGGCAGACGAGCGCAAGAGGGCGCTGGAGTGCCAGACCATCATCCAGGACGGTCTGGGCCTGCCACGGTCTGCTGTGGCTGTGCCGCCGCTGCCGACTCGGACCCACTCCCTGGCCACCCTTTCCCAGTGGCAAGTTCTCCCGCACCTCCCCGCCACACCCACCTCCCCGAAGTCCCCAGGGCGGCCAGCCCTG